AAAGCAGGAGTATGGAAGCTTAGAAGATTCTGATAATCCTCAGCAGTAGTTACATCGATACCCTGTCTGAGAGCAGCTGGTTACCAGAGGCTGAAGCCAATATCATCATTTTGTTTGTGTTATCGTGCTGAGTCCAAGCTTTGCCATTTAAATTCAGCCAGATGTTCCTTAGCAGAGCTCCTTTGAATCCAGCGTGTCGAGTACAACCCCATCAGTGCTGATCCCACTCTTGCATCTTTGCTTTTGGTGCACTCCTGTCACCTTTCTCTTGATTACTGAATTACCCTGAAAGGTTTGTGCAGTGCAAATGAACTTGTACCTTTAATAAAAGGGTTCCCTCCTGTTTTATTTAGAGAATTTCTAATAACTCAATACTTTACAGTAATGGGAACAATGGTTGGGTGAACACATAGTAAGGACAGCCTTTATTCCCTAAATTTTCAGACTTCTGCAGGATTCTGTATTTGTATTCAATCCAAATTTAGGTTGTCTTTAAAAGTAAAGTTTTCCAAAACACAATCCCAAAGACGTTCCTGTGCATAGATTCCACACAGCGTGTGCAAATCAAATATGACCTAATGTGTTTTGCCTATAGGGGGAACAGGCTCATGTGTATGTGAGGAAAGAGTGACAAAGGAGTTCTATTCCTGCAGTTTGTGGAGCACAGGCATATACCTGGTAAAATAAACAAACCTTTGTTGTTTCACAAATAGAAGATCAGAGAGCACCCTGGACGTTTTTGCTGAGTTCTTGCCCAAGGTTGCATGTTCCATGAGTAAGATTTTCAGAATGCTTTAATATTTAAAAGTGCCCCCTAAAAATTGAGCTGTAAAGTATCTTAAAACTAAGAGAGTCTTTAAGATTAGGGAAAGTGTTTTCTCCAAACATTGCCAGTCCATTTGCCTTTGCAGTAAATACTATTTCTGTTAATGGATTTGGTCTTTTTTCTGCCAGCACAGTTGTTCCAGTGTCTAATCCATTCTTTGCTAATATTAGAAGGTATTCAGGCCTAAAATTAAAATGATAGTTGGCTTTGCTAACTTTTCAGAAATGATTTCTCAGCAGTCTATCTGAGAGTGTTTTGCACTTCCCTCCTTTGTTCCACACTTGGCTCTTGATTAGTTGGTGTGTACAGTGTCCCACAGAGCAAGTCATAGTGGACTAATTAAGAACTACCAAGAGTTTCCCAAGTTATGCAAGATCCCCACAACTATGAAAAGCCTTTCAGCTTCCCAGTCACATACTGTGAAGTGCCATAAATCAAACTTTAGAAACCACTCAAAGCTGTGCTACAGACACAGGTATACTTTAGTTCCAGAAGAAATATTTGCTTTTGTTAAAGTTTACTGCTGTTTTATTCAGTACTAGTTTTTCTTAGTTTTCATCTCACAAGCTACAATATTGGCATTTTTAATACCAATAGCATAGATTTAATGAGACATGGTCACTTGTGCAGCATTGGTGACATTGTTGTGTTCACTGTTCCATGAATCTGGAAGAGAAGGCAAAGGGAGAGCTTTGGGCTTCTGTGTCAGACTCGGGCAGATGGCAGGGGAGACTGCACCTCATGCTTCTGTGTGTCAGATTACTGCTCCTGCAGGTCAGGCAGTTATTTTTACCTCAGTGTCAGTGTGGGAAAATGTGGAAGACCTCAACTTATGTTGGAACTGTAGGAGATGGCCAGGTTAATTGTTAAGATGGGTCATCGGTGTCATCTCATGCAACAGACTTTCTGGTTGGAGTCCTGCGAGTGTCCTCACCCCACACTGCAGTCAGTCGATCACGTAGGTTGCTTGGTGCCACACTACATGAACAACTCCCTATTTACCCTTATTGCAAAGGACAAATTTAATTACTGAAGTGTTGTATCACTGGGGAAATTGTTATTCTGGATTATTCTGTGCTAGAGTCACATATGTTGTAGTTAATCGTGAGGTTGTGTTATTAAAACAAAATCCAAATATTTCTGTTAGGGGGCTGTGCTGAAACAATCAGGAGACAGCTACACTGCATGTTGTTGGAGTTAAATCCAGTGTATACCATACTGTGAAATTACAGCTGTGAAATCCTGATAATTATCTTTTATTTTGTTCTTTAAAAAGGCTTCCTTTGTGCCAGAAAAAACATCTATGACTAAATAGTCACCTGTAAAAACAAAGAAGAAAAGTCCTCTCGTGCCCAAGCACATCTTAAAGTAACAAATCATTACTGCACCTTTCCCTCTGCAGCTGTCACTATGCACAATTAACTGGCATAGTTAATTGGCACTATTACAAGCAGGACAGGTCTGGCCACGGGCCTGGTGCACCTTCTCTTGCTACTGAAGATGAGCATAAGGAACACTGAAGCCCAACAGCTTTCCCAGATGGGGGTTAATTTGGGGGAAGAAGGTGAGAGTTACCTTCGGATTTAAAACAAAATAAATAGTCTCAGACTAGCTAAGAACGGGCTGGACTTGGCACTGTTAGGTTTACAGTTGGACTCAAGGGTCTTAAAGGTCTTTTCCAGTCTAAATGCTTCTCTGACTCTAAGAATGAATTAAATTGCTATATTGGTATGCTGGTAAATGGAATAGAAGAAAAGATTCCTACTGAACACATTAAAATAAAATTAAATTCAACAGCTGAGTTCAAACCCCGATATATATCATACAGAAAATGAGATGTAATTTTAGTTTTGAAAGATAATATAAACCAGCATAAAAATCTCTATTCTCCTGTACATATCATGACTTCTACACCCAAGTGAGAGATTTCTGTAAACATATACATCTGCAGATTTGAATACCAGCATGTGATTGATTTCAGTGGAGAGAAAAGGTTTTAGCCAGACATACCAGACTACATTTTAACCAGCTCAGGAGTCAGAGCAGAAGGGAGGGGACAGCAGTAATAGCTGGTTTTGCAGAAAACCTCCCCGAGTCGAAATATTTCCTTGGCTGTAAATCTTTCAGTCTCACACAGGGTTTAGTAAAACCTGTCTGAGGCATGCAGTCTATCAGAAAAACAAATTTCTATGTGAGGTCGTGCCAGTTCAGCACAAGTAAGGACCTATTTTTTGTCCTATTATTTTGTTTGCATTTTAACAGTGTTTGTCTTAAGAGTGTGTTGTTGGTTTTTTTTAATATTCCTGCAGTTTCATGGATAAAGAAGAAGGCAAATACATTAATGTGAAGAAAATCCCATTTTAAAAATTGACAAAGGGGACAAGAGAAAGTTGAGGGTAATAAATAATCTTAAAATAGTTAAATTTTCTACATGAAAAAGATTATATATTTCAGTGGCTCTGTCAGCAAACATTTAATGGATTGACAGAGATCTTGCTTAATAAAGATTGCCTTTTAATAAAAATGGAAAAGATTTTCATTGTATTTGAGAGAAGATGGCCAGCCATGATCTGCAGAGAAGCAAAAATGTAGGAAAGCCTTCTTTTCCTTTCAGAACTAACAGAAACACTGTAAAGGGTGGCAGTAACCTCCAGGGCTCTTTAATTCAAATTATCCCTGTTCCATCGTCCTGGGAGCTGCCTTGCTAACAGGCACATGACTTCACAGGTAGGTGTTAGTGAAATAAACAGTTACACCAGTTATTAATATTCATGTTACGTAACTCCCAGCAAAAATACATTCATTTCTCCCTTAAATCACATTAAACGTTTGTAGTTTGCATAAATAAGCTAAACAGCCTGAGGTATCAAAGCTGAGCAAATCACTCTTGTTTATATTAATTTTGTCAACTAAAGATCAGGTAAAAAAAGAAATTCCATGAATATTGCTAATTTCTCTGGCTATGGGGAAGGAGCCTGTCTTCATAATGCCTTTAAATCTTTTTTAAGCCCCTGTTTGAAAGCTACTCCAGAATCACAAAGCCATAAAACAGACCGGGTGCTCTGTTTCCTCATTGCATGTTCCCTGCCTCTGCTCCACTCTTTGCTGTGCCCTTCACCTGCTGTTTGCCAGCTCAAACACATGCAAGTTTATCACCTTGTCCTTACACGCCAGGTTTCCTCACTGCTTATCAGCCTTTCTCTCCCTCCTGGGTTCTCCTCAGTCCATGCTTAGAGCTGAATGCTGTCAAAATCTGATACATTCAGGGTTCTTTTCATTTTCCAGCTGTATTCCTTATTCAGTTCTCTCATTTTTGACTTTTTTTCCCCAGGTAACATTCTAATGAGTTAAAAAAAGTTTTGAGCTCTTTTTCATCCAAGAGGACAAACAGATATAATGTTGGTAGTCATTCTGTTAACTAATATGACACTTTTTTCTTGAAAAGGACTAACTGCACAGAACTTTGTGAACTACAGCCAGGTTACTTCTGAGAGGGTGAAATTCAGCTGTGCTTTCTGCTTGTGTGAATGTCGCTTTTGCTGTGTGGAAGGTTCAAGTACAACAGTTGGAAATAGGTATTGAGGTACTTTGGAATGTTGTCACATTTCAAGGGGTGAATAAATTTTTAGTCTAAATCACTGCCATTTAATTCATCCTGGTTGAAGGAGTTCTGTAACTCTAACTTGGGATGTATTCTTAGCAAAGAGAAATAAAGGCAGGAAATATGAAAATACTGATCACAGATTTCTGCCATATCAGTACAAGAGCTGGAAATAGTATGTATGAGCTTCTTGTCTACCATTTTTGTCATGCTGGGGTTAAGTAAAATGCTTACAATTATTATGTTCTTGCAGCTATGCTGACTTTAGTGTGGCACAAATAACTCATTAAATATGTTCTTTTCAGACCTTGTCAGGTAGTTTAATTTATGGTGGACTTACCTTCAAAACCCAGGAGTTTTGTTTAACTCAGCTGACATACCAGCTGTCAAGTCAACCATGTGCTCAGTTAAGGGAATGTAGTACCAGGCAAGCAAGGAAGGGATTACTTGTCTTGAGAAGGAAAAAAAATCAAACTGTGCTAAGGCCTTTTGAGCACCCATAAAGTATTTTGCAAAGAAGGGGGCAGCAAAAGAATGAAAGGGAATAGAGTGCAAGACAAAAGTTCTTGAAGCATAAAATGGCCCAGCAGGCTGAGAGACAGCACATGTTACTGGAGGAGATGATAGTCACTGGCTGTACAGCACTGCAATCAGTGAACAGCAGCACAGAAACAGGATTCTCTGTCCTGCCTCGGTGATGTTTGGGTCCTTCCCTCTCATCATGTTTATATTTGCACTTGGCCTTCCTCACAAATCTTCACATGAACAGCTCAAGTTACTAAACCTGTGCAAGCTTGACAAATGTTTACAGGATTATGTAGAACTCAGACTTCAAACAATAAAATAAGAACCCTTGAGGGTTAACATGTTTTAGTATGTTTTCATTAGTGCTTCAGGTTTTGTACATTTGAGACTTCTTACGTGGTGTCAAATTCTGTGTATGTTAGCAGTCCCTTCATGCAGTTTTTGAAATTCTGTAGATTAGTATTTTATGAATATGCACTTGTTATCTTCCTCTGATGTTCTCTGAAACTGTTTAGCTGGCACTGGTAACAACATTGAGTGGTATTTATAGCTTTGTTTGTCTTGCTCTCTCCTGGAAAGACTAATCTCTTAAACATTTCATTCCAGTACCTCAGATTAATTTTCCACAAATCAACCTCAAGCAAATTCTAGTGCAGACATTCTTACATTGCAGGAAGTATCCCAGCTCAGATAAAAATGTTGTATAGATAGGACAAAGGGCAAGGGACAGTCATCTTTTTGCAAATCAGCAAGATAGCAGCAACCATCATCAAAAAGAAAAATACATTGCAATAAGGCAGAAAAATAACCATCTACCTACTCCACTTACTGTTCCTTTAATAAGTTTAAATAGCTTCTTGAAATCTGAATATGACTTGTAATTTTTAACATCTATTTATTTTAATTTTGTTTTCTCTAAGTAACTGCAACAGAGAACTTTACTAATCAGTCCTGAAGTAACTTTGTTTTATTATCCCCTTTGCAGTCTAGGGTTACCCATGTTTTATGTTTCCTTCCTGCAACTCCAGTTGTCCACATTCAAGCCTTGTTCCTTCCCACAGATACTAAAGAACAGTTTGATTCTTCTGTCTTTACTGTGTATTCACCATTATTTTGTAGTACCAAGGTAACTGCAGCACCCAGAGGCAAGGACGGTAGAAATCTGAGCTGGGGAGCCAGCCTGGGCCCAGGCAGAGGAACGTAAGTGGGGTATTTCACTGCAGTGATCAGCATAGGACACTGTTACACACTGCAGTGATCAGCATAGGACACTGTTACACACTGCAGTGATCAGCATTAGACACTGTTACACACTGCAGTGATCAGCATAGGACACTGTTACACACTGCAGTGATCAGCATAGGACACTGTTACACACTGCAGTGATCAACATTGGACACTGTTACACACTGCAGTGATCAGCATTAGACACTGTTACACACT